GAGGGTAAGGGAGACAACACTCGCAGTGTAGCCCTTCATCTGTGAGCCACTCCCATCAGTGGTTAAATTCAAGCTAAAATGTTCCCAAAGCTCCAGTCCTCTAACACTGCTCGGCCTATTGTGGAGTGCGTTTAGCTGGCCATGTGTCTGTCTGCGTGCAAGAGAGAGATTGAGCCATCACTCACAAGTGACCCTCTGTGTACAGTCTTCAACATCTTGAACACCGCCTGTGTCCGGCTGCTCTTGGTGGCCTCAACTTCTCCTAAACAAGAGCTGTGATTACAACAGGCAGCAACCACATGGTAAATACACTCATAACAACAAGAAGAGGCAGTTTTTGCAGTGCCTGCCTCTGTGATTCCTGAGGTGAAAGCTAGGGCATGAATTATCTTTGCCTTTTATCTCCTTCTCACACACACAGTCTTGCCCACAGCCAGCCAGTCAGGTGCTAGCCAAAGCTCACATCCACAACACCCACTTCACCCAACTGCCAGCAACATTAGAAACACCTCATGTATTAAAAAGTCTTCAAGCACATAATCTTACACTAATATTATTATTAGCGTCCCATAAACAACTTGTCAAGCGCAGAGACCTTTTATATTACTCCCAATAGCAACAGAGAAGTCAGATTACCTTGTGGAGTCGACATAAAAACCAGAGCAGAAATGGAGCACAGATAACTTCCTTTGTATTTGTTCCAAGGCTGGGAAGAGGCATCAGAGGAAGAGTGTGACGACATGTGACTTCGCAGATCCATCTGTGCTGAATGGATGTGCCAGACACACGCTAAAAGTTACCCTGGCAACTGAGCAACAGCAGTGGTTGGAGGTCACACAGAGAAAAGGCTTGATGCAGACCAAAACGCCTCTAGAATATGTATAGCACTCTGAAGGAGGCCACAATTTGGCTTCTTATTCACTCAGGGGAAGTCAAACAGTAAGCTGCACTCTATAGATTGTCACACACACACACACTCATGCTGCATCTAGGAACATTTTACACAACCCGTGTAGTGTACATGATGTAATGCAGAGCAGAGAAACGCAACCTGAGAAAGGCCAGAGACTGAACTTGACAACGCAAAAGCCCTTTTGTGTTTTGTCCCTTTCTCTTATAAAACACACGGCTTGGATTCTGAGAGGGGAGTTACACACACACACACACACACACACACACACAGAGATGTAATCTCTAACTAATCACATTTGCAGGCCTTGGACAGAGCAGTTACACCATAGTGGTGAGCAGATTGGCCCACATACAGAAGGCATCTCTGGGATTAGTTTAGCACAGAAGGTGGAGGTGGTATGTATAGTTACCAAGGGACGGTTTCTAAAAAAGTACCAGGTGCTCAAACGGCATTGAGGGGAGTCTTCCAAGCTGGTATAGAGATTCAAAAATGGAAAACTGGAATTATGAAGGCACTTCCTCCGAATGATTTTCTCCCTCTGGTTGCAACATGATCAAATGTTTCAATTAAGAACTTTTAGCTTACATCCTTGCAACGACAAATCATTTCAGCCATTTAAGATGATTATGTGTGATGCGCAGCGTGATGTAACTGAAAATAAGAACAGCACTGCGACCTAAGGCTGCTTCGGTATATCCTCCGGGTGCTCGCACTGTTTCTGTTGGCAAGCAACAGATAACATGAAGCTTTTTGTTTACAGTAAGGAAGAGAGATGAAGAACAGGATAAATCCAAAATCACACAGTGATGCAATGCAGCATTTGTAAACAGGCGTACAGATGGGACAAGATGCTTGACACTAGCAGTGCAGGGCTCCACACTGGACAGAACACTGAATCATGCATATTCTAATGGATTAAAACCTAAGCCCTAGTACTAAGACCACAAACGTTTCAGATGTATCCTTTACACCCACTGACCACTTTCACTGGGGATCTATACCAGTTTGCAGCACTCTCCTGGGTTTAGCCTGAATAGGAACAAGTAAAAACCAAAAGGAATCTGTTTGGAATTTCTTTTGGTTTTTACTCTGACATACAGAGGACTGAGGACCTCCTGCATTTGATAATGATTAGGTTTCCACTCCCCTTTTAGGCTCAACTGTAGTATTACCTAACTACTCAATCAAACAATGCTTTCAGAACCAGTATGGCTGCAGTTATGAACACTACCTAATGAATACATTCTGCATCTATTTCACCATTAAAAACATGCTGAAGCCAAATGAGTTGGTTTCAATCTTTACTGCATAGCACAACACCACAGCACTGCAAAGGCATGCCAGTCATGAGTCTGAGCCAGCGACCTCTGGGTCACATGTTAAGTGTTGAAAACAGCAGCACCACACAACCATTGTAAATATCGATATGGAACATTCCTCAGAGCCCTTTAAAATGGGGTCCGAGGGGTGACGCCACACTGGACACTGACAAAGAGTGCGTTAGATAGCAGGGTAAAGGGAGGCTTTGAGAAAGAGTTATTTTTTAAAAAATGCAGCCTAATCGTGAAAAGGGCGTGAATTCAGCTTAAAACTAATTCAGCTTGACAGCTAATAGAGCAGGCCCACTCAAGTGTGTGTGCTCCCTGTAAATGCGCATATCTGTGGGTATTCCTGACCTCACAACTTAAAGGGAACAACGACAGATAAAATTAAAACTAGGGTAGGCAATTTATAACAGAAGCAACCGATAAATCAAATACTCTTAATACTAAAATAAAAAAAGGCCTGTATCTGTGCGACTGTAATTAGCACGGCCAATTATTGGCAGGCCTACCTGACCTTATACCTACCTATGTGTTTTGGGGGAGTGGCATTGGAGTGAGGCTATCAAGGAAGGGATTAGATTTTTCTCAGTTAGATATTTTCAAAATCTAGCTGTCTCTCACCAGTTCTCTAACGGTGCCAGCCAACCAGAGCTTTAAGTGTGTTTGGGCAGCTCTCAGTGTTTTAGGAATGCAGACTGTGATAGGACTTGTAACACTGACCACCATTGTCACAGATTCATATAATATGAAAAGGTCAACATATCTTTGTCTCAGCTGTGATACAGCCTAAAGACTAATAAATGTTATGTCTGTACATACTATTGGACCTGTGAGAGCGCCTGGCATAGAGTTACAAGAAATAAATACCTACTTGAAGACTATCACTCATTTAAAATGCTATTATTGATCAACAAATTAAGATTACATTAATGGAGATAGGCAGTTCACAGGTAGAACAGCTTGCTTATTATGAGTGATGTTGGTGAGATGTCTTCTTTGAGAAACACCTGCCAGCTGAACTACTTGCAGGGCACCTCTCTAACGTTGGTTCAAGCGTTGAAAGTTTCCCCTCATTGCAATAATTTTATCGCATCGAGGTCGACATCCTCTGGCGACCCCTTTCAAAATATCCTCACGACTCGTTTTTTGTGCCTGTTCTATAACCAAAATATGATATGGCTAAGGCAGGACAGGCTATACACAGTATTGTTAGTGGGTGAACCCACGCCACACCCAAAGCACTCCCCGGAGAGTAACTGTGCAGGGGGTTCGCCGCCAATGAGCTATCCGGAGCAGGGCGCCTGCAGTGGGGTAAAATAAGTTCATACGGGCAAACAACACAAACATATCGACATAAAGCACCCGTCTCCCAAAACAGACGACAACTGTGTAGCGACTAAAGTAAACAAAGTAAGGCTGCACGGGAGGACTCAAATTGCTAACTCACGGATTCTCCCCACTCTTTTCTCTCAGGTTACCAAATTAGCATGTTGCAGTTCTCGCTAGCTTGACTCGTTAGCTAACTTAGCTTGGTAAGGGAGCGCATGATTTATTATTTGCATGATATCAAACTCCCCGGCGCTGCTTCTTGGTGTGTGGTGGGGCGACACATTTTCACGTGGGTGGGGAAGAAGATAAAATTATGGCAAAAAAAAAAAAACCCTCTGCAGCCAGCTAGTGTGTCTGCATTACACACACCAGGACGAGTCTCTGCGTTCAGCTTATCGTTTCTCTCACATCTCCCTGTCCCCTCCTCTGGGTGGATGCCGATTTACTTTGATAACGGAGCATCCTGCGAGTGAAAAGAAACACATCCGACCCGTTCGTGGGGCTTAACGTTGTAAGCGTTAGCTAGCTAAGTTACCTCGACGATTGGGGAGGGGATTTCTACATGATGTCGCAAACAATAACAAACTTTGCCCCGCACTGTTCTGTAACTCACCGTAGTGCGCCGTTTTCTTTTTCCTTCTTGTGGTATTCCAGTGGGCACATCAGACAACAACAGAAGACCGCAGCAGACAGCTAACAGTTTTCAGGCTAACGCTCAGGGCTCGACGATGCGCCTCGCAACAGCTGTGTTCTGTTTTGAATGAGGGCTGAGGAGGCGCACGGCTAACGGGCGGAGCTTGCACTGTGCGCCCACCATGCTCAACACACCGACTTACTTTACTTCTTTATGTACATTTAGTCAGAGTCTACAGTTATCTACAGGTTGTTCTTACAGTGTCGGTTATAACGGTGACAGGTCATAACAGCATACCCAGGGGAATCTATTGTGTTGAGTTCAGGGTGAAGCGCCCTGTGAGATGTGAAAAGGGCGCTAAATTGATGTCTTTGATTCTGACTCCCTCTTGCGGTCCAACTGCCGTCGAGCCCACACCCGCTGTGTGAAACTATCCAGTACACATGGGATTTTAGGACAATGTCTTACTGTTATTAACAACATTTGAATCCCATTTTCCCCATCACCAAGAGTGTCGACGACTCAAGAGCTTCACAATCTGGTGCAACACATTTGTCATGTTCCACGAGGGTTCTGTTCAAATTAAATTAAAATCTGTTTTCTAACAGTTGCATACCAAACTAATAACATACACAACACATATTCTTACATAGTATTGTTTGAAGGCTGATGCACATGCCAGCCAGATGATGATCTAATGACTACGTTTAAACTGCCCATTTACCCTATAAGCTTGTGCCTAATAATTTGGATACCACATATAGACTTTCAAAAGCATAATCAATAATCAACTACAGTAAATGAATAACGATTCATTTTATTGCTTTTACATTTATATTGTGCATTTGTCTGAAATCTACCTATACAGTCAAGTTTTTGTAGATCCCTGAATTTCACCATCTACATAAATGAGACAAATGTGTCCATTTAACGTCTTTTAAACAGATCATCTCCCACCTTTGAACCACCTGAACAGGTTTAGTTTGTGCACACATAGACGTGTTCCCACAAACAACCACAATAATTTAATCATATGTGTCACATTCACTCCCCAAATTTGAGCTGCCTTTCCTTTTCTAAACCGTGCAGCTCCCTCGCTCGATTCTTGAGCTCCTCTGCTCTCTTCTCATCCTTCTCTGTGCCATCCCCAAGTTTGTACATACGACTTGCATTGGCGCAGCCCCACACATGTCCCAGCTCACAAGCCCTGTTAGCGTACTTCAAAGCTAGAGTCATATCTGGCGCCAGCCCTTTGGAATTGCCCTCAATGTACATAGCACTGAGGTTAAAACAGGAAGGAGCGAAGCCACCAGCGCAGGCCTTCTCGTAGTACTGCCGAGCTGCTGTAAGGTCGGGTGCTCCCTCCATAGCTCGTCCATCGTGGGCTAATAAACCAACGTTATGGCAGGCATCTATAGTCTTCTTCCCTCCGGCATTGCAGGAGCGCATAAAGCAGGAGTAGGCTGTTTTCAGACATTCAGTCACTCCACCTGAGGGGAAGAATTCAAATCCCTCACTTGAATAAAAAGTAGACATACAATTAAAATAATTTTCAAGTAAGACCACGCACATAAAATGTACTGAGCATCAAAATCAAAAGTACTCATTTGAAGAATTGAATAATTGATGCGTGACATGTGAACAATACACAGATTAAATGCTTAGTCTACAAAATGTAAAATAAATAAACTGTTGCCTTAAAGTGAATTTTTTAGTCTGATGAACAAATAAAACTCCAAGGTTATTGATTTTACAATCTTATGAAAAAGAGAAAAGCACATAAGTCCTCAGCAGAAGCATTAAACAGCAATTGTTTGGTATTTTGACCTGATAACAATTGATTATTGATACATTTGACAACAATTAAGCAGCTATTTAAAGTAACTAACGCTAATTTCTGAGTAGTAGTTGGTCCAGTTACTAACTACCCAATATACTGTCAGGTAAGTGAAACAAAAATATTTCATTTTGCTTTTATATATTTTGCTTTATTTGTATCCAAACAAGGAAAGCAATACACCACATTGCTGTTTTACCTTTGCCTGTGACATGGTAGGCCCCCAGTTTATAACAGCTTTCTCCATGACCATTCGTTTCACAGTTATGTTTGAGCACTTGTGCTGCAGATTCATAGTTTTTCTTCACCCCTTCCAGGTAGTCTGCGAGCCTTTGGCACCCTAAGAAAAACATGTCACACTGATAAGTGATGAGGTAAACATAACTAACAGATATCAAACATCCATCTGTAACTGGTGTCCAGTGTTTCAGCACTACTGATCTGTGAACAGCGCAGGTGTTTTACCTTCAGGATCCTTTTCTTTGTGGCACTGGAAGCTGTACTCCACTCCCAAATTGTCCAAAAACTGCTTCACTTCATTCTCATCTTCGAAGTTTATAAGTCCAGCCATATTTCAGCGTGCAATCCTGCCTTTTAAACGTACTATAATCACATGTGCTGAGGGGTTAGCGCCCACCACATCCACTGCTACTTGTGACCTTGGTGAATGAGTTACTGAGCGACGCTACAGAGGCGTTTCCTTAAAATAAAAATATCAATAGAGATAAGTACCGCTAACCGTAAAGTTGTTAGAAAGGCCTACTATAATTACTAAAGACATAGTTTTGCTTTGAAAGCAAATAAACGTGAACGTGCCTCCAGATGATCCCTTCCTGGTTTCGCAACCTTCCTCAAACGGCTTCCGTAGTCCAGCCCCCTCGCTAATGTACTTCCAGTGCAGTGACCTTTGTTTACTGTCTGTCTAGTCAAAAATAGACTCAACTGCTCCGCTGTGAAAACTATATTGCCCGCCTGGGTCCTTAATTCAAGCACTCGGTCGCTACAGTGATTGGTGGATACATTTTAAACATGAATTGTGACACAGCAGACATCTTTCGACAGTTTTGCACGGAGAGCGATTTTCTTCATCGGAGGCAACAACCAGTGAGCTAGCTAGCTGCTTCGCCGCGAACGTCCCGTCCGATTGAGCTCGCTCGTCGTCCTTCCCTCCTGGTTACCGTAACGTCGTTGTCACACAGATTAGTATAACGCCAGGCTCTCAGACCGGTCAACGCTGCAAACCGAAACGGCTGAAAACGGAGCCGCTCGGTGGCTAACAAGCAAAGCTGCAGTTCCCCGGGGTGAAAAAGAAGACACCAGTCTGTTGTATAAGCTAAAATTAACGTTGGAGTTTGTTTTGTTGCCATGGCCGGTAGTTTCCTAAACACGGTAAGTTTTAGATACGCCTTCAGGTAAATGGTGTGGCGTATTTTTTATGTGCTTAGTCATTACTGTCGCGCTATTATTTATAGTGTAGTGTTAATCACAAATTACATTAAAACATCAACAAACTTTCCCTTGTTGTTTCCAGGATGAGGCATCTCCCCCGGCTCTGACAGACCTGTGCCTGACCTATGTGAACCAAAATCTGGAGTTGTTCTGTGTGAAGCGCCCTGATGGCTCTCTGTGCTTCAGAGAGGCTGTACTCTTCCCACAGGAGCTAGCAGACCAGCTGCTGGCCAAGATGGCCACTGAAGGTAAACCTGGACCTCTAAAGACACTCCTGAACACCAGTTAAATCACCTGTTGAACCATCAAATACCAACCTGAATAATTGCAATCAAGACTTGATTAACAATACAAATTCGTAACTACATTTTGAGCTACACCTGATGGCATGTTGTCAACTAAACCAAAAGCTTGCCCCAGGTGAACAGAGGCAGTATTGTGCAAGGCTGAGTCCTGCATGAACCCAAAGATGAACCTTGACCTGAGTTAATTCCACTACAGGTCTGCTGAATGACAGCACAGTTGGTGTATTTCGGAACTGTGAATACCTGCGGCTGAGACGAGCCTGCATCCGCACAGCGCGAATCTCTGCGGAGGCCTTCCAGAAAGCCCTGTGCGCTCACAGACTGTTGGAGCTGGATGCTGCCAGGGTCAATGCAGACCTCACTATTCCTGATATTCTGCACGGGCTGGCCACCAATAAATACTGCCAGGTAAACTGAGATTATGTCAATGTGTGTGAATAAAAACATAAAGACAATGCATAACTTTGACATGCTGTCAAACCACCCTATCTTCCCCAGCTAATAAAATAAATGGTTGTTTTTCTTTAAACATCCTGCAGGAGTCCCTCCAGCGACTTGTCTTAACAGGTCTCACCATGTCCTCTCTGGAGGAACCGAGCCGGTATCGCTTCAGCTCCCTCCAAGGCCTCCGCTCCCTCTCTCTAGCAAATGTAGACTTCTATGACTCTGGACTTGTCGACATGTGTTCCCTGCCTCGGCTGGAGAGCCTCGATCTCTCCAACACTTCGGTTACCAACCTGAGCCCCCTGCTGGGCCTGAAGGAGCGGCTGCGTTCACTAACACTGCACCAACTGAAAAGACTAGAGATGAGCACTGCTCAGCTGCTGGGAGTAATAGGCCAGTTGGATGTGTTGCAGGTTAGTAGAAGGATTGAGCAGAGTTTACGCTGAAAAGAACACTTTCTCTGTGATTTCACCAGCTTGTTAGTGTTGTACTAAAATATTACTGTTTGTATGAAACCCTGCCTGTGTAGCACCTGGACATCAGTGATGACAAGCAGTTTACCTCTGACGTGGCTCGTCAACTGCTTGGACAGCCAGGGATCCTGCCTGCTCTTGTTTCCCTGGATGTGTCAGGGAGGAAACAGGTGTGTGTGTATGTGTGTGTGTGTGTGCTTTGTATTTGTTAAAACAATTAGTATTTAATTTGAAATGCAAAGAAAACATACAGGCTACAGAGACAAGTTGCCATTTCTTACATGTGTGAATGTTGCAGGTGACAGATGCAGCCGTCAAGGCATTTGTTGAGGAGAGACCAGGGATGACGTTCGTGGGACTTCTCGCCACAGATGCTGGATTTTCTGACTTCCTGTCTGGAGAGGGAAATCTAAAGGTAAGGATACTTGATGTGTCCATTAAATCTGATAACTGCTTATAAGAAAAATCAGGTTTGCTAGAGTAAATTGTCTTTTGTGTGTAAATAGGTAACAGGAGAGGCCAACGAGACCCAGATCTGTGAGGCCCTTCGTCGCTACAGTGAGAGGGAAGGTTTTGTGAGAGAAGCTCTGTTTCATCTGTTCAGCCTGACTCACGTCATGGAGAAACCCAGGCCTGACATCCTTAAGGTGAAACCACAATATTATTTTTCAAAATTAAGTAACTTTTCTCATTCTGTTAAGGCAGATTTTCAAATCTTTAAGAAAACAATGAAGATGGTCATATTATATTGTTTTATCATGCAATAAGCATAATGTCATATCCGAACCACATAATTATTTATCTGATAAGCAAGTGTCAGCCATCTGTCTTTCTACTAGCTGTTACAAAATCAAATCAAAGCCCTACACCCTAACTCCACTTCTGCAGACTTCAAGTTCCTCATCTGTCTCACTTCACATATATTATTATTTGTTTTTTCTCCAGCTGGTAGTTCTAGGTATGAGGAATCACCCTGCCACTCTGAATGTCCAGCTGGCAGCCAGTGCCTGTGTGTTCAATCTGACGAAGCAGGACCTGGCAGCAGGAATGCCAGTGCGACTGTTGAGTAGCGTCACTCAGCTTCTACTTGAGGCCATGAGGACTTTCCCCAACCACCAACAGGTAGCCCCATGCCTGCACTGCTGTCCTAGTCCTAGACACATGTCAAGCATGCCATGTTAACCACAAGAAAATCAGTTTATCAAAACAACAACCAATGCATTTAGCAGGCTGTTGTACTTCATACAGTTTACTGGCACCCGGAACTTGGAGAGAAAAGGGGCATGTGATTTTTTGTAAAAGATTTGGTTCCCATGGATGAAATATGACACAGATATGTTTTGTGTTACCGATCCAATGGACAAGCCAAGCAAGTTTTTTTTTAAGACACAGATAATTATAACACAGTTTTCCTGTTCACCAGTTAATGCATATCTAAATTATAAAAAAGTTGAATTTTGTAAATCTTACAGGTAATACATGTTTGTGAACTGTTGAGCACAAAACATAAAACTGAAGGAAATCTTTTTATTGTCTTGTAACAGCTTAAAAATGTTGATATTGAACCTTCAATGTGCTGTACAATACACAGACTAAAATACATAATGAAGAAAAGATAATAGTAGTAATGATAAGGTGAAAACTATAGTTGAAAATCTTTTTGGTTTTGATTTTCTAGCCAGTTCAGATTTTCCCCCCTATTTTCTTTTGCCAAATATGTAGGTATATATCAAGACAGAACTAATAATTGAAGCTTGAGGGCGAGCTGGGGTGGGAGGCCTTGCGTGACTGTAGATGGTCGGCAGCTCCGGGTGGGAAAGTTTGGACACCACAGAGGGAGGGGAACAAATGTGTCAGTACATTGTGACAACTGGACAATTCTGGGGAACTTCCCACAGCCCACAAAAGTGCAATTTCCTTTTTTTTGTTTTCATAACCACGAGTGGAGACCAGAGTTTCATACAAGCAAATATAAACTATAGTGCAATGAAAGACCGTTGTGACCATTAATAGAAACTTAAAATCAGTGTGACCTAACCAATCTGGTCAGAACTGGGCTGGTGAATTTTAGATAAGTCACTAAAATAAGTGGTGTGTACAGTAATTTACTATCTGCATTTACTAGATATTATAAATAATTTGTTAAAGCCATATATAAATGGTATTCAATAAAATGGACACAATGAGAGAAGCACATCATGTTAACTCTTCACAGTTACACAAAGTGAAACTGTTATTTTTGCCTTCCACAGGCTCCTGGTCAGACATTTTACTGGGCCCGTATAATAACACACAGCTGAGATAAAAAGAAACACACTTCAACAGATTGTGTGAGGTCATTGCAGTTGGATGTTGTTCAGGTTCTGGACTGATACCTGTTGTGGTTTCTCTGTCTACAGCTGCAGAAGAATTGCCTGCTGTCTCTGTGCAGTGATCGCATTTTGCAGGAGGTTCCATTCAACAGGTGAGAAATACTCTTTTTACTATATATATACGTTATATCCTTTTCACATGGAGGTATAATGCACCTTTTAAGTGCTTCCAGAGTCATTTAAAAATGATTAAATATATAAAATATTGAAAGAGCAAATGTGTGTCAGTGAAATAATTGACAGATCACAAAATAAAACCAAATCTGTCAAAGGTGTTTACAGTAGAAATGTTTTGCTCCCTTTCCCTGTTTGCAAGGTTTGAAGCTGCCAAACTAGTGATGCAGTGGCTCTGCAACCACGAAGACCAGAACATGCAGAGGATGGCTGTGGCTATAATTTCCATACTGGCTGCTAAGGTATGTGCTGTGTTGTATTAATATCATATGTGCTTCATTCATGTATTCTTAGCACATCTGCATGGTTATTCTGAAACTCATAGATGTTTGCTTTTTACAGTTGTCCACAGAGCAGACGGCTCAGCTCGGAGCAGAGCTGTACATAGTGAAAGTAGGATTTTCATCTTTCTCCACCTTTTACTAATTAACCAAAAAAAGGTTCAGATTTTCATGGCAAATTTGCTCTCTCTCCTGCCTGCAGCAACTGCTTCACATTGTGCGTCAGAAGGCTTTGCAAGGCATGGTGGACGCCACCCTCAAATTTACGCTGAGTGCACTCTGGAACCTCACTGATGAATCACCAACCACCTGCCGCCATTTTATCGAGAACCAGGGCCTGGACCTGTTCATTAAAGTTCTAGAGGTGCACAGAAATGTCAATATGTACATATAAATAAATATTAAGCACTACATGCAAAAAAAAAAAAAATCCAATTACCATGTTAGTTAATCATCACACTTAATCATGCGTTGCTCTGTGTGCATGCCTTTGGGGCGGGCTGACTCACTGTTGTTTTGTTTCCATACCTCCCCCACTCCCACCACCCCGATCCGCAGTCCTTCCCCAATGAGTCTTCTATTCAGCAGAAGGTTCTCGGTCTGCTGGTGAGTTCACTGCTCTCTTATTACCTGTTAAGACAACTATATGTTAAAAGAATTTACAATATTAAAACATTATGATTCCCTTATCACCTTTTGTTGTGTAGAACAACATAGCCGAGGTCGGGGAGCTCCACGGAGAGCTGATGGTACAGGGGTTCTTGGACCACATAAGCACCCTGCTGCACAGCCCAGAGGTGGAGGTCAGCTACTTTGCCGCAGGCATCCTTGCACATCTGACGTCACGAGGCGAGGCAGCCTGGACGCTCAGCCGCGACCTTCGATCCTCCCTGCTGGAGCAACTGGTAGGAATCAGCAGAACTACTCGTAACTCGTGTACATTGATGCTGTACACAGATATTTTGAAAGGTCTGCTTGAGTCTTTTGCATTTGTGTGTCTCTCTAGCATGCTGTCATTATGAAGTGGCCGCCGCCTGATTGTGAAATGGTGGCCTACAGGTGAGATGCAGCTTCTCTACAGTAATTATAAAGCAGGGAAACAGTTACATCATTTAGCAGCTACATGTGACAATTTTGACCATTCATAATTTTTGTCAATAACTGTGACAAAAATGAAATGATATATTATCTACAGTACTGAAAAATAAATTTTAAGAGCACACCTTGGAAAAACAAATGTTCTTTATGTCTTTTATATTGAGCTTTACAGTATACTTATGTCTGTGTGAGCTCGGTCATACTTTTCTGAGCAACTAGAGACACAGTGAAAACCATAGCATGAACATGTGCTCACTAAATATAGTCCTATTGTCTCTCATTCTTTAGATCATTTAACCCCTTCTTTCCCCTACTGGAGTGCTTTCACACCCCTGGTGTCCAGTTGTGGGCGGCCTGGGCCATGCAACATGTCTGCAGCAAGAACGGTGAGACACAAATACATGCACACACACACAACCGAATGTTATTCTAGTTTTACAGATTTGCCCTTTCACACAGAATTGTCTGTTTAGGCAGTTACTTATTCACCTACCCAATCCGCTGACAGATTTTATATTGTGCCCCGTGTGTCTGCAGCCCCTCGCTACTGCAGCATGTTGTTGGAGGAGGGCGGCCTGCAGCAGCTGGAGCAGGTTAATACTCACCCACAGACCCACAAAGATGTCAAGCTGTTGGCCAAGAGCATTCTGGAGAACCTGCAGCACCACAGAGCCCGCACTGGCCAGCCTGCGCCAACACAGACAAGTCGCCGCCTGCCGCCACAATAACCTCACAGAGGTAAAGACACACACACCAGTGGTCATTTGCTGTATCAGCCCCACAACGGCTCGAGATTTTTATTTTACATTTTCTGTTTCAGAAAATCAGGCTTCCTGGACATAAGCTGGGGCCCACCACAGACGGGACTTTGTATGTGTGTACACTTGATCAAGAACCCCTAAAAGTAAACGTTAAAAGGACAAAGACTACGCAGTTCTTTGCACACACACTAACCTTATTTATTTTCTTTGTGTTTTATCAAAACAAAAATAGTTCTGTGTGCGCCAATCTTGTGATATAAAAAATGTAAATAGGTGAGAACGGTCAGTCCGTTAAGCTCAAAATTCTACATGAAGCTTGTGTCTGTGGTTCGCTCTGTTAGTCTGACATAGGCATCATGATTATTTTAGTGCCAAAAATGTGAGCACACATACAACATGCTCAAGTTTAAGATTGAACCCCCGAAAGCTCCGCTTAGGGTTGACACTCTCCGGCTCCTGTATCCTACTGAGGCCTCTGGTTGTCTGAATTGGTTGCTCATTAGATATTCGCATGGCGCTGCTGTGAGCTCACGCATGCTGGAGTTTGTCTGAATGCTTGTGCTGTTCATTTCGGGAATTCCTGCTTGCTTGTTGATAGCAGTGGTCTGTTCACTGGAGCTTGCGCCTCTGGGTCCCCAGTACTGCTGTTGCTCTCCTCTTCATTCAGTCTTTTATCAGCTAATGCCTTTGATTTGATGTGGCAGGACACTTTCCTAGGGTGTGTTCAGTGGGTTCAAATGTTCCAAACATTAAAGATTTAAGAAAAAATTAAATAATAGAGAAGTTACATCTCTTTGAGAAGCTCCAGTGCATTTTCTTTTCTAAACATTCAGCAGCCATAAATCATGTCAGTGGCAAAATCAGCAGTGATGTAGATCAGAAGATTCACATGATAAGTTGAAATTATACCTTCAGTTATGGCTGATATTATTGAATATGTCTGGACACAAATGGCAATAATGAAGTGACGTCAAGATGGATGTACATGTGTATGGAGTCACAGCTGTTTTCTCTTTGAGAAACTGTATATATTGGTATGTTCGCTGTGGTTCCCAATGCGTCCGACAGGCGTCTTAAAGACAGAGACAGCACTTCGGTGTGAGCATGCATGTATGTACGTCTGTACAAGTAGCTGCATCTGAAAGAGTGTATGTAATTGGTACATATTAGAAAATAAGAGAAAAAAAGTAGCTGTTTGTTCAGAACTGGTTGAATTGGTTGCATGGAAATTATTATACTGTTCCACTGTTTGTTTACATTTATCCGGAGAGAGTTGGGGGGTGGGGGGGCACAATCTCCTTTTTTCATCTGAAGTCTTGATTCTTGTTAAGGACCCACCATCCTTCTCTATGCAAACAAAGCTAATGTTGCTTCTACAAACTGCTGTCATGCCCCTGATACAACCGTGATGACTAATTTTTGAGGCAAAGTGGGATTTGGCTTCTGCAGGAATAACTGTAAGACTTGTATAGATCACTTGATATTATGTTAATGGAAATAAAAACAATCTATTGGGCTAAATGGTACTTTACATCACCGCATCTGCTCAGTGAATTATGGCCACATTGTTTTCTGTAAATCAATTGTTGTATGAGCTTGGTAATTATGCATGTGTCCTGAGCTGATCAGTTTTAACAAGGGCAAAGAGCAGCAGACAACACAGAATCTGTTTTTGTATTTTTCTGTTGCTCCTGATATGTGGGGTCGATAAGTTGAGCCCCCGCACATCACAGGCCAGTTTGATTTTTCACAAGAATTTAATTCAGATGGAAGATGCAAAAAGCCCAGGTAGTGTGTGTGTCTGCTATGACTGTGCCATGTTGCTGCTGAGAGTCAGGTTTTCAAGTTTGGAAATAAAGAATGTACATTCCCATAAACTGGAGATGACACTTGTGTTGCCTTTTTTATTCCAAAAGGTGGGCTTCACATCACCCATGAAGTACGCTGTGGTACCGTGTCAAACAGTATTACACTGTTGTGTATAGATCAAATGAAAGTCACATTTTGTCAAATTTCATCCTTAATGTCACAAAAGCAAACAATCACCATTGAGAACTCAAGCTGGCCTTAACTAGTGTATTGACACTGGCTGGGGTGCATAGATACAATCAATGGGTGTTCATTGTCTGTCAGACATGAGGTTTCAGAGAGCGGTGTGCGTCTGCGTGAGAGAGGAATTCAATAGCTCAAAAGAGTTTATTCCCCAGTGTACCGCGGGGGTCTCTTCTCTATGAAGGCAGCCATACCCTCCTGTCTGTCCCGCGTGGGGATGACCTGAAAAGAGAGAGCAAGGGTGAAAGCTGATGATCTGACTAGAGACAGCCTCAGAGGGTGAGCATCAAATCTGAGCCTAACAGTTACTGCTTGTACTGTTCATTTTATGGGGTAACAAAGACGGGGATTATCTACTTTTTGGGTTCTTTTAGAGTTTAGGTTCAGAGAAAATGTCTGTATTAAGTATTTTTAAAACTTTAAGGAAGGACTGGAAGTCTTACCCGAGCATAACACATTCTCTCTATTGCCATTGCGGAACTTATGTCAACCTGGAAGAAACAGATTTCAGTCATTATATCAATTATTTAAAAAATATATATATGAAGATCTGTGAATCACGATGTACCTCAGAGCCTCTGTTTATTGCTTCTTTTGCCATCCGCACAGCAATAGGAGCCTGGGCAACAGAAAGAGATGAGAGTAAGATGCCGATAGTGCCGTCACCATGAAAGTATATGTCTGACAAAAGAACACGTGACAACCTGAACACATATCTCAAGGTGAACAACTATTTTACACATGAAGATCAGTTTACTCATTGTGAGGAGGAAAATAACCCTGATCATGTCATAATGACGTCATAAGGGTTAAGTCGGTTTGGGCCTGGAGACAAATAGAAAACCTACATTACAAACGGGGATGTGGAGAAAGACGTGGGTGTTTTACGGGGCAGGGAGGGTCCAATGAAAGACAGATGAACTGCGTTTTTGGAAATGTGTGTTTTTGCAGCATGACCCATACCAGGTACCAAACCCACTATTTTTTTTTTCCCCCTCTATTTGTCTCTAGCAAATCCTTCATCTTTATTAGTTAAATCTCTGAAGTGCCCTTTTAAATAGTGCTGTAGGGACTCCAGCTGATTGCAGAGGGCACTTTGCTCGTCTTATGCAATTCCATTTTCCCAGGAAGTCACAACAACACAAAGAGAAAGATCCAAGGGCTCATAGAGCGTATTGTCTCCTCCATCCTACCTCACTTTCATTCAATGCAAACTCCAGCCAATCATTCAGTCCACACCAATACAAGCATGTATCTGTAAATATCTGTTTGTGGTTCATTTCTCCACTTGACTGCCACTCTGGCCCTGGCCAACTGTGGGCATCTGAACTGGAGTGAAAGAAATATGGAGCGACAGAGGCCCGGAGAGGGGTAGGGGTGGGAAGAAAGCACCAGGGAGGGAGAAAGGCGGATTGAAAAAGAGGCAAATAAAAGGCAGAGATGTGGGGATGGCGAGGTAAGAGGGCAGGTCCTTGCCTGGAGGAGGAGGGATGCATAAGTACCTGAGCTGTAGCAGAGTGAAAATGTGTGTGTCTGTGTTCTAACCTGGGGCAGTATCTCTCTGGCCAGGCTGAGTGCCTCTCTGTAGGCAGCGTCTCCTGTCTGGATCTGTGCTACTGCTCTGTTTACGAGCCCCATCTCCAGAGCCGTCTGACCTCCCACACGCTTACCTGATAACAGACAGAGAGAGTGAGATGGATACACAAAGCCCATCCTGAATGATAACCATCCTACGTCTAACATATCCACGTTTCTGTTAACACCACCTGTGAAGATGAGCTCTTTGGCCAGAGTGATGCCGACCATCCGCGGCAGCCGCTGACTGCCCCCTGCAGGACAAAGCCCTTCAAGGTCAACTCCTCACGACTGCTTTGTCTCTCTACTTACACACTCGGTGCTTCGCAAGGTCATTTTTGTAACCTCTTTTTCATCTTACCAGCCCCTGGGAGCAGCCCCCGTGACGTCTCAATCAGGCCCATCTGTGCAGAATATGCTGAAACACACATAAACACAGAGGGCAGTTGAAGGACTGTGCTGCTACTGTGCGCCATTAAACTGGGGAGGGCGTAAAGTCTGACTGATGCCTCTGTCAAGAGCAATAGACGCAAACACCTGCTCGCCTAGCTTGTCAGCGCTTAGCCAATCACAGAGCTGCCACAACAAATTTAACTAATCACATGGATATTCAGCTAGGTGAACAGCTGGGCAGATGTGTCTGGCCTCACCAGCTATCATTAGTCACTGAGCTCAGCAGCAGATCATACAAGTCGCATGAAAAACACATATCTCCAAAAATGTCAACTTGACTGCTGCTTTAAACAGTTCAAAAGCTTAACTCCTTAACAGCCAGTTCTGCCCTTTTAGGGTCCCTTCACTAGCTTTAAGATATTCATTTACTAATAGTAACAATTAGGGCTAGGACTATTATGTTCATTATTTTCCTAATCAATATGAAGATTATTATTTTCATTAATTAATTCATTAATAATTTTGTCTGTAAAAGTTCCAGAAAATAGTGTAAAATGTCCGTAAAATATTCAGTTTTCTATCATGTATGACAAAGTAAAAGCATCAAATCCTCATCCTATTTGTGACGCTAAAAACAAAGTAGTAAATGTTGAGTGAAAAATGACAAGTAATTATTCAATCATCAAAACGGTCAACTACAAAATAAAGAATAATGAAGAGATACTGTCAATACTATGAATGAATGAAAACTTGAATAAATGGTTCTGTAACCTGTGAAACTAGTGAATGGTTCTTGGGACTCCTTGGACTGTCCCGACACCCAGGTTGAGAACCACAGCTCTAAACTACACTGACTGTATGGGGGAGAAAAATGACCCTAAGTGAACATGACTGGATTGGTGACAGCTGTAAAGAGAATATGTCGTCACCTTTCATAACCCATTAACATCACCTGAAGGAAGGAAATAAGCACGTTAAATGTACTTGTAGCGTGTTCACGGTTGGACAGGTGAAGGTTCAGAGGTCACTCACCAGCGGTGCGGAGGTCACAGGCCAAAGCCAACTCCAGCCCACCTCCCAGGGCGACACCATCCATCGCTGCGATGGTCGGCATCGGCAACGATGCTGCCAGGGCATTTCAATAAAAAGAGGAAAGTTCACAAATACATATATGTATACCCTGAAAAATATCTGCTCCCTCCTAACATAAGATGTTCTTTTTCTTACCTATCTGAGTCATGAGGGATCGCAGGCCGTGAACAAACAGATCAGACTCGGTGTTGTTCATCAGAGCTCTCTCTTTCAGGTCTGCACCTATGTATGTACACATCATAGCATACACCATCACATGTCATTTAGTCAGCCTTTGATCACAAACCCAGAGGCCTGGCAGGTTTCAGATGTTCCACAGAACACTTACCTGCACAGAAAACCCCTGGCACTAAACTCCTGAAGACAACCACGCGAACTGCTGAGTCCTTGGACAGAGTGGACACCAGCTCCCTCATCTGCACATACCGGACACCGTGCCTCAGTCGGTGTGGGGTGCATGTGTGTATGTCTATGTATATGTGTGGGAGTGTTGATGTAGAGGTCTACCTACCTGTGACACAAACACGTGGCCCAGAGCGTTTCTTGTCTTGTGTCGGCACATCAACACCTCCACTATCCCTGAGAAAGAGAAAGCAATGAGACAAAGAGCGGGCAGCAACTCGCAGTTAATTTAGTTTTTAATCACTTGACTGGTTTCGATTGTCAAACTGTAACAACTATGTCATCACTAGGCTTCCCACTGGGCTCTTCCTGTACTAATCCATGACTGTCTACATTCATATCAGTGTGGAAGCCTATTCCTCACTGGGAAAAAAAAATAAAAAATTGAGGAAAATTAGCAATGATAAAAAGACAAAAACAGCATATCTCATTATGACTTAGTGTGATTGTGATTATGACAGCTAAACTAATCAATCATCATTCCACAAAAAATAATTTTGATAATCAATTAAAGCAAATGTGATAAACATTTGCTGATTAAAGACTTTCAAATGCAAGAATGAGCTGTTTTTCTCTTTCACTTCTATTGTAACTGATTAAATTTCTTTGGGTTTTGGAAATATTTGAGGGTCTAGGAAACTGACTTGAGCAATGACATTGACTGACAAACGACTAATGACTAATCAAGAAGTCATTAGATTGATCATTAAAAGGCATCATTTTTAGCTGCAGCATTAATAAAAAATGGCTTAAAAACTCATGAGATTATTTTGCTTATAGATTTTCATTATTACATAGTTTTTATTTATTTATTATTTATTTTATTATTATGTGCTGGTCTGGTAGGCAACTGTTTTTACATGAGAGGAAAATAGATACTGGTCCAGATTCCAGCACAGAGACTAATTTGTAGAATTTGCTGATTTTAGGCTACACGACCTCCTAAGATAATCAAACAAGTTACCTCAATACAATATCCCAGTGTAATAACATTAAGGTTCCATAAATACCAACACCAGTGGGCATCTAGCCTGCTCTTCCTCAGCAAGATTTTATCGGTGTGAGTTGGAACACTGTTTAATCAGTGTGTGCCTACCATCGTCTACCCCCTCTAACGGCTTTAAATCCACCTCTACTTGCTCTGCCGCCTCCGTGTGCAGCCCGCGGCTGTGTGCGCGACTCCACACTGTCAGAGGGCCACCGCCACCGGCCAACGGTCGCGCTCCGTCCCGGGGGATCAGATGGGAAGGTCGGCCGTGCGTTTCCCGCTGAATCTCACTCAGCCACCGCATCGATGAACACCTGGGCCCTGCCAGTCTGCGAAGGAGAGTCGTCATCCTCGCTGTGTCTTCACTGTTTAATTGTCAG